TTAAGTAATAGAGAACTAAAAGAAAAATAGCCTTTATTTCAAAAAGTGACTTTAACAAGTTTATCAAAACTACTAAATGATCCAGATCTTCAAAAAACAACAACTAAATTATTCTTCACAAAATCTCCCGTCCCCCCTCCCCCCCTATATATATATATATATATAATATATATATATATATATATATATATATATATATAATATATATAATATATATATATATATATATATATATATATATATATATATATATATATATATATTTGACCAAATTAGCGAAAAAAAATATTTGGTTGAGTAAAAAAAAAAAATCTCCCCCCCTAAAAAAAAAATTACCGTTTAACAAAAAAAGATATTTGGTTGAGTAAGAGAAAAACAAGGAAACAAACAAAAACATGCGTTTCAATATCCAAAGAAAGTAGGATGACTTCAAGGCAACAAAATCAACAGCCAATCAACAAACCCCACTTGTCAACCTTGAATCCACGAGGCGACGTTAGGCTTTGTTTTGTAGATGTGCTGATTGATTTGTTTGTTTATTTGTTTTTACTCTATTTTTTTCTTCTTTTTTACTCTATTTTTTTCTTCTTTTTTTACTGTATGCGTTTACTTTTTTATTATTGCTATGAGATTTTTTATTTATCTAATTATTTATATATATTTTTTTATCTCTTTTACTGTGATAAACACAACCAGACACACCCACACCCATGCCCCCCCCACACACACACACACATATATATGTGTGTGTGTGTGTGTGTACGTTTCTTTTTTTCTTCTTTACTCCGTGAGTCCTTTTTCAATCTGTCCTTTGCAGGAATTCCGACGTCGACGGCTTTTATTAAGTTCACAAACAGAGCTGTTTCTTTATCTATCTACGATTAAAATGGACGACTATTTTTTCCCGTCTTTATCTCCCCACCTGTTCCTTCCGACGGTGAACGATCACTTTTGGGAATCTCTTAATTGCATAGCTTTCGTCGCAAATGCCAGGCGCTGTGCAAATGGCGCAGACTTTATTCTGCAACGCAAGGCTCCCTTTAGAACTCTGAAGCTGCAAATGAAGCTTTGAATTCATGAAACGCCATGAAGTCTGACAGTTCATTGTGCTCGGGCAAAATGCTTAGGACATTATATTGTTGAAATCGGATGTTTATTACAGATATCAACTGCATTTTATTAGCAGTATCATTATCGTAATTATTACTAACATTATTATTATCATCGTTATCGTCATCATCACCATTATTATTATTATTATCATTATTGTTATTATTATTATTATTATCATCATCATTATCATTATTACTATTATCTCTCTCTCTCTCTCTCTCTCTCTCTCTCTCTCTCTCTCTCTCTCTCTCTCTCTCTCTCTCTCTCTCTCTCTCTCTCTCTCTCTCTCTCTCTCTCTCTCTCTCTATCTATCTATCTATCTATCTCTTTCTTTCTTTCTGAGTATGTATTTGTTACTGAACACCTTTCTTACAAGACCCAGAATTCCTAAAAGCATCAACATCAGATAAATTCCTCCACAGCCATTCGGAAAGCAAAATATTTCCCACAGTGACTCGACAACATCCCTCGCTCTCTCCCTCGCCCAAAAATCCCTCCCGAGAACGGCTCCACGCCCCAAAGGCCTCCGAGGGCACGAAAGCACGAAAGCACGAAAGCACGACAAATTTACGACTCGTCCTAGCGGGAGTGGCTGAGTTAGAAGCGCTCTTTGACAAGGGGCCCTGTGGAGGCGGCGCCAGCACTGCCCACGTTCGCTGGGAGAGGTTGCGAGTGGTTTCTCCCGGGTGGTGTCGGCGACGCGCTTCCCTGCAGCCTCGCCTCGGGATGTGTGGCGATAGACTTGTGTTTTGCAATGTTTTGATGCAGAGGCAATACCGGAAGCACGGAAACAAGTCGCCTGCAAACACGAACGCTTACTCTTACGATTTCGCGCATGAATTGCAGACACATACACACGCATACTAACACATGCACGTACATAAGCAAACAAACAGGAAAACACACACACACACACACACACTCCTGCACACACGCACGAACTCGCACACCGCCTGTGCACCTACCTGTCCACACACAACCCGTGAGAGTCTCAAACGCCCCCCCCCCCACATCCCTCCCCCTCCACTTTATTTACCAGGCACTTGGCAGGTGACCAACGACATACCTGGGCACCACCTCTTGACCTTGCAGAGACTCGAGCACAAATTTCCTTGAAGTCTGGTAGTGTGCTGGCCTCTATGCGCTCCAGGAGTGGAAAAGGAAGACAGTGTCATCCCACGACTGTTATTGTTCTGCAGATAAAGGTCTGATGCACACAGAGTCCGGACGTGCATTCGCCCCTGTGTTCGCCGGGGACTGAGGGACGATAAAGCTGCGTCGATTACCTTGATTACCTTGTATAAAGACCATTAAAGTATCGCATTACCAGCGCCCCTTTGAACACTATGATCCATATGGGGGAAGAAAGAGATAACCCTCACACATGACTGCGAGGTTCGGGTCATAAAGGCTGTTTTCTTTTTTCTTTTTTCTTCCTCTTTCCTCTCTTTCTTTTCTAGTTTTGCTCCTTCGTCTTGTTATTCTTTTCCGCTATTCTTCTTCTCTTCTTCTTCCGATTTTCATCATTATTTTTCTTCTTCCTTTCCCTCTTTCTCTTCTCCATCTCCTTCTTCCTCTCTCTTCTTT